GGTCTGTGGATGATGCTGATAATTCTCATAATCAAGTACATCAAAGCATACCTTGATTGAGATGCTAAATTATTTTGCAATTTTCTGGATAACAATAATAGAAGTTTATGATTTATTCAGGTTTTCTATCAACATAGTGTACTTGTATTCTCTTGTAGAATTCTTCTGTTGCCTCTACATTGGTAAAGAAAAATTTAAAATTGTAAAAGTTGTGATTGCTAAAACACAAATCTGGGCAACAGAGTAATTCACTGTACTTGGACCTGGAATTCGTTTAGACTTATTGGTAAAAAGTAAAATCAAAAAAGATCATGCAAAGTGATAAGAATTAAACACGACTTCTAAAGCAGTGATCAATGGTAGAGATGGGTTATTCATAGCACCTGAAGTTCCTATAGTTGGAACAATTCATGGTTGAATTTATTCTTGAGACAAACTCATCAAGTTAATTAACAAGTTTTCATAAAATATAATATCAGTTATTATGTCCAGAAACACGTAGAAACAGGAGGGCTGTAGATATAAATCAGGGATTAATGGAAGCTCTAGTATATATTATTAACAAACCACACTTTCAATTAGTACCTTAGCAATTTCTGTACCAGTTAAGCAATTATGATAGGGGCTTGTTGTCACTCAGAAAAACAGAAAATTCACTAATTTTTCTGTTAATTCCCTTTGTTCTCTTACTCTTCAATTTTGCTTCATATAGTCAACTGTATTTCATAAAATCAGTGAATCTATTTCTGATATCAAGACCTTTCTAAAAGTTTCCTTTATAGTTATCTTTCTCAACTCACCTAATTCTATTGATTCACTGATGTTTTTATCTTAAAATATTTAGATGGTGCTTATTTGTGTATCCCAATTATTATTTACCTTTAGCTAAATCTTTGAGCACAAATATTTCCACTTCATGTGACTGATTGTTTCTCCATGTACTTATCAGTTAAACTTTAGCAGTTGTTAATTAGGTCAATGGTGATCTTGTCTTGAGAATAGTAGGTTTGCATCTGCTGTACCATACACCGATCACTATTTGTATTACAATTTATTTTATTTATTTAAAGCAGTAAGACATTGCACTTACAGATGCAGTAAAGCTTGTTCCCTAATGTTAGCCTTTTGTCACTTTTGAATCCCCAACAACGTCTCCATACTATAGTTCTTATAAGCCCTTGCTCTTTGAATTCCTTCATACACTCATGATACTAGATATTGTTTCTTATTTGCAAATCTTTCTGGGTATGTTGTTCTGTGTTGTTTCTTCTGCTGAATACATGTCAATGTGTAAGTGTACAAATGTGTATATGTGTCTGCATAAGATAAAAATAGTTGAATCATTTATGATCTTCTTACACTATTAAACTGAACTGCATTCCAAACTTTATGTATTTGGTAGTGAGTGTTACATTGACTTTTTCAATGTTCTTTTGACGGTATGCATTATCTGAACTAATTCATTTCACATTTCTGAGACAAACTGTACAACATTCAAAGTTAAAGGGGAAATTTTTATAAGACTCCCAGTGTACAGATATTTTTGTCTATGACTAGTTGGCTCTAAAACAGGGAGAGATGGTAGGATCACATGAGGAAGAGGTAGCATCAAAGAGGAGAATCAGTTCATGACAAGCATTAACCAGCAAGGCATAAGCAACAAACTACAATTGGCAACCAGGGATGACAATAGTCTTCTTTCAGCCACTAATATTTTATTCCAGCTATATATATTTTGCTCAGCAACTTTGGAAGACAAATAATGCTCATGACTAGCAAGCATCAATCCTCAACACCGTGCAATATTTTCTCCAAGGAAAATCAAGATTGTTCTCCTTTTACCTCTTAATACATTTAACAGTAATATGCATGGAAATAAAAATACGGTCAGTCTAATCTGATTTCTGTAACAATCAGCTATGTGGGAACTACATACTGTTTTTTGGTACTGATCTTTTAAGAATTTCTAATGATTCATTTCATCTCATTTTAAGCAACTGTACAGAACTAAATGAAATTCATTATATCCCAGTGACATGCAAATAGTACTGTGGATAACTTTTGAAATGTACCCAATCTTCAGTCACCTTATAGAAATAACTCTGATATTCAATGAGTTTGGAGTGGATGGTTTGAAATGATCATTCCTATGTCTTTATATTTAGTCATACTTCAGATAAGAGTTCCTTCTATTTTCTGTACTTTTCTTTTTTTCTCTCAAGAGACTTTGCTATAATTTCCACAAAATTTTACATGGAAATATGAATTTACTAAACTTCCTGTCATTGAACATCACTGATATCATTTCATGGAATACAGAATTTATCAGTATTTGTTGAAATGGTGTAAATGAAATCAAGCAGCTTTCATATTCTCTTGAATGTTGCATGTGAAGGCATAAGTTTATTAACAATCTTGTCCATGTCTCTGAAAACCTAGATAACATTATAGACAATAACTTTAAGACAAAATATATTCTATGAAAAACAAATATTTGAAATTTATTTTTCAGGAATATAGCTCATCGCCCACTGGTTGCCATATAGTATGAAATACTGAGTGTGATGTCAGTGCCTAAAATACAAAATAAATTGAAATTTTAAAAATGAAAAAGTTGTTGTAACAGTCCTTAAAATGTAATTAAAGGAAAATTATTCAAAGACTTCAATAATTGTTACATTTTATAGGGAATTGATCAGTGATAGAGTATAGTAGAATCTAAAATGATATCATATCAAAAACATAAAAAATAAATTAAATTTTATGAAGCTTATCTGCCAGACTTGTGGTGTCCACAAGACAATGAACATTTTTGTAAACATCACACTAGAGGACGAAAGTCAACATGTGCAGAAATGTGCAAACATGGATAAGGAATATGAAAAAATAAAAAGCTTATAACTGAATTATATGAGCAATAAAATGTCAAACCACTTCATAATTTGAATGAAGTGGAAAATTTTATGAAGATAAATTCATGAAAAAATTAAAAGTATTTTATAACAACAAAGAATTAGTAATGCAAAAATAATACCTATTTAGAAAAATTCTTATTTTGAGGGGGATTTACCTTGACTGTTCTATGACGCTGAAGCGTGTAATTCTTCAAACATCAATTTACACATTTGAACCAGTGGTAATATTTCCCAAAATATTCAACAAGTTTTCAGTATTAAAAGCTTCCATATTCTTCACCAGAAACCCTTAACAAGTATATCTTAGGAGAATACATAAAATGTCCTCAAAAATGTTAATTAAAAAAAAAAGAAAAAGAAACATACAAAATCATATTCTTTCTATGGTTATGTAGAATTTATCTCTCTATTGACAGGTAATTATGTACTATTTAGTATTGGAAATCTCAATAGATGAATATGTTTCATTATAAGAGTAGAAAAAAAAGCTCTGAACTGTCACCTAAAATATCAGAAAACAAATCATATTTTGAATTTGTACTGATCATAAGTAGTTTTTTTTTATCAAGTTTTCGATTATATCATCTAGTACAAATTGGAATAGTCAACCTTGCATTCTGCCAAAGAGGAAAATTATCAACTCCTTTTCATAGGTTAGGATGGACAAGAAGGCAGTTGCTGCCTCTCTGTCTGCTTGCTACCTCACCTTAGCAGTATAGTGCTCACTTCTGTGTAACTAAGCTTGCATTGCAAGATTTTTTGGTGTCTGACTACTTTATTTATACACTGAGAAATTGAATCTTGGGCTAATTTTCAGAAATGGTAAATATGAATTAATCCTATTCATGTTATACTTTTGTACACTTTTGAAATTTTCTCAAACCAAGTTTGAATTGTTTTCATTAGAATGTTACAGAATGTAGAAAATGTACTGAAGTTAGTCATTCTGTAAGTGGAAGTTTTTTTTAAATCATTCCAGAGAAAACAATCATCCACAGATTAAGTGAAGATTGATTAGGACAGTGAGACAGCTAAATATTTAAATAAAATATTGAACATAATTGCTTTGCAGGTTGCCAGTTACTAGATTCAGAGAGTTCTTTCAGGCTCTGTGAAAGTCATAAAAGTAATACAGTAATCTTTTATGTAAACCAATGTCATCAGGCTACAATTGGAAATTTCAAGAATACTCAGCTATAATTTGTGTGGTAAATACTTGGAAAGTATTAATTGCTTATGATTTCCTATAAGAATGTGCAAAAGATTAGTAATAGAATGCACATTTTGTATTCAAAACATTATGTGATTCTTACACTGTGATTACAAGATGAATATAGAAAGCAATGAATCCCTGGTATGTAATCCAGTGATGTAAGCAAGTTCATGACAAGTGAAATTTGATACTCATTAGCAAAGGAAAAAGAAATAATGAATGCAGAAATGAGGCTATGGCTTTGATATACTATACATGAAAATTTTTGCTCCTCTAAATTATTTTAACAGAAATAAAATATATTTAGATCTTTATGTCTTTTAAAAGGCAAAGTGTTGGAGGTTTTGTCCCCAGTAGATGGTGTTTAGGATGCAGTGAATCTTCTAGTAGGTGGGGTGAAGATGAAGAAAAAGCCAGTGCTGAGGATGAGGCTTGGAAACAGATATCAATCCCCTATTTCCACTTCTCCTCGTTTTTCTGATTCTCAGCCTTGAGGTAATGAGTTTCCTCTGCCACACACTCCAATCTTATGTGTCTTGTAATGTCCAACATCAGTGGTCACACCTGTCAATGGATTGAAACCTTCAACACTTTCAGCCAAAATAAATCTTTTCTCCTAAGAAGCTGAGTAACTCTCATACATTGTTATCAACTGACTCATAGAAAGACTAACTCATAGAAACTAACTAACTCATAGAAAGAAAGAATTGATTCATTTGAGATTTTTATTTGACAATTCAATTTAAAAAATTACCAGCATTGCTTTTTTTAAAGCACTTGTAGGTTATACCTTGACAAACTTATGTATCTGCCCACAGGTTTTGTGAAGTACATTTCAAGCCAAGGCACTCTGTAGTTCATGATGTGGTTCCCTGAGATCTGTGTGGCCCCTCATTCATTTCCCACTGTGTGATTTCTCTGGACTGCAATCTGGCTGTCATTGATTGAGAAACAAACTTCCACCATTGGATTTCTGTCTCGGATTGAGTGGACCCAGGAAGCATCTTTCCACTGTGAGGGGGAAAAAATGCTTTCCTGTTTTAAATTATGTATATGTTGGATAAGTTGTCCTAGCAGTGGGAAAATATGTGACACATAAAATTGGCATCCCAAATGAGGCTACTACTTTGATTCTACCTGAGTATGTGGTATTGAAGGCATTGTCTTTTGTGTAAGGAACCTGAAAAGGGTTGGAAATATAGAAATGAAAATTCCTAAATTTTTATCAGTGAACAAGAGGCACCCAGTGTTTAAAAACACAGTCTATATAAAACTCAGTGTGCATTTCAGATAACCAGGCCTTGTGGGAAAGTGGGAGGTTTCTAAGAGTAACAGTCAAGCATGAGGTGAGAGTGTTACAGGCAGGCTTTTGGCAAAATTACACCAGAAGGCAGGCAGGCAGAAGAACCTGTCTTGCCCTTTGAGTCCTATCACTGTTCTCCAGTAGGCCATGCCCTGGTCATGCAGGAGCCCTGTACTTGTCTTCAATTTCCAGTTTCAATGACTCTCAACAAATAAATATAAGAATTTGAGAAAGACATTTTAGCACTAAAGTATAGCACTCCTCTCTTAGATATCTAAAGACTTTTGTATGTCACATGCAAAATGCATTTAGAACACTTACTGCAGTTTCTTCAAAAATTTCTACAAATTTGAAATCTGAAGTACCCTGTAACATTCCAAGAAACTTCTAGCTGTCTCTGGAAAATCTAAATAATCATAAAGTATTCCAACATATAATTGCACATGGGAGGCATTTCCATTCCAAAATTTCATATTAGGAAAAAACAAAATACCACAAGGAAAACATTATATTTTACATTTTACATCTAGCACCTGAAGATAATTTGGAGTTATTAGCTCCAAATTATTTGAGCTCCTCAACGATAATGGCATTTCCAATTACACAGCATGTGTCTTCTTTCTTAGAATTGCTCTGTAAATTCTGTGCACCATTTCTTAGCAGATTATCAGTGTTCTTGGTATTTCAAACTTCCTAGGGCCTCTACTGTACTTTAGGTATTATCAGCACAGCTAAACACACAACACAATTAGTGGACCATTTTCTGGCTCCCAAGGAACCTGCGGTAATCTTAGTGAAAGCCTCCAAGACTCATGGCTACTGCATTCTGCATGGCTGGGAAAGCAGTGATATGTGAATGATACTAGAATCTGATGCCCCCTTGACCACCAGAGATGCCCACTTGGACCATGGTGCAGTGAAAATTGGGGATTGGTGGCCAACTTGACTGATCTTGTTGTCTGTTTCTTCTAAACTGAGCCATAGTTTAACTTCCTCATTACTATATCTTTGCATGCAAGTGGAGAAAATGGTAAATGACCACAAGTTATGAAAGAAGCTTTATAGCACATAATGGTACCTGTTAAGCGGTATTATTTTTTTGTCTCAACCCAACCTGTGTGCTACTTTAGAGAAATTGTTGGAAAGTTCTGGCATAGCTCACAAAACCCAGTCACTGGATGAATAGATGGACAATTCTGGATGAAGTACCTGAGAGCTCATGAGGTGAGTTTTGTGACACTGTCAGTTTCCATTCTTCTAATCTCAATAAATCGGCAACTTGAATTTACTATGTGTTTTTGTGTAGAGATGATTTTGTACACAGTTTTATGAAATGAATCAGTCACTTCATGTATGATTTTCAGAAGAAATATTTTACCATATTACTTTTTATTGTAAAAATTATAGAAGAAATATCTGATCTTTTTGAGAGGCTCTTCAGAAATATATTTTTCAAATTTCAGTAATAAACACATACAAATCTTTCACTTTGGGGGCTAAGTTCCTGATGAAGTTTTCATGTTCAATTTAAATAAGTATATAAAAATCAACGTTGTGATTGTTAATGTTTAACTAGTAGCTAGATGCAGAAATATTCAATAAGCATGAACTTGTAATATAATGAATATGAAAGTTCACTTGAAGAACCAAGATGTCAGAATAACATACAGTTTTTTTAGTTGTAGTGAGTACTCCACACAACATCATCTTTACTGAAATGAAAATATGAATTTTTTATGGATCTCAAAATGTCTAAAATTTGTATGTTGCTGTCACATATTTAGAGAGAAATCAAATATAGGTTTAATTGTATGGTGGTTAATTTAGTAATGATTTGTGTTTAAAACACACTAATGCAACATTATATATGAAATGCTAACCAAATAATTTATTTAAATATATGTGCAAAATCTAGAAAAATATAAATTGCACTTTGCATGAATAATCATGTATGTATCACATTTTTGAGGTGTAGAGGCTTTAAACAATGAATCGACTTATACTCAACTATTTCAGGGAATTTGTACAGCATACTCATCTATCTTTAATGACTCTACCAATGTAAAAAAATAGGCGATGTTAAAGTTGGAAAAATATAATAGTTGGATGGTTCATAACTAATGCCTTTCACCATGAGGTAGGCCACACTGAATATAGGAATTTGCATAAAGTTTGGAAGGGAGGAACAGAAACACAAAACCATTAATAAGAAGTATCATTAATTTTTCTATTAAAGTGCATTGTTATAATGACACATTCACATATTACTAAAAATATTACTTTGTTAATGTGTAACATGAATTTCAATTATTCCTCTATTTTTAAAGCATGGTTTCTTCTGAAGATCAATTTGGTATTCTTAGGCAGTGTTCTAGAGAGATGAGTTAAATTGAGTTAAAAGTAAATGCATGAGATTTAGCACTCAAATGAACAAGTATGAAATATAAAATTTTATTGTGAGATATAAGAAAGCAAGCGTTGTTATTTAAACTGCTACCATATTTCTCACAAGTTGTTTTTACATGCCTAATGGAATCAATATAAAACTGAAAATTTATTCCAGCATGTAACATAATTCTCAGTTGAAATGCAAAATTTTAAGTGTCTATAGTGACTTTTACTAACTAGAAAAGCATAAAATCTTGCTGAATATTCTAAGTAGTTGATTGCTTTTCTTGAGAGATTTCCCAAATGATATAAGCAGAAAGTCCCATCAAAGTATATGAGGATAATGGAAAGGACAGAGGTGAAGGATGAGGGCAAAGAGTAATTTGAACAACAGCTCAAACATTACAAATTGCAAGAGGTGCTGATATTATTTAGTTGTAAACATAAATTTCCATCCACATCAATATTATGAAGGCAGTTCCCTTGTTATTTATTACATAAAATGTATTCCTCACCATTGCTTGCTTTCACTAATTATTAAATCATGTAATTTTTGTATTGTTTAAAAACAAACAGAACATTTGGCATCAAGTAAAAATACAAACAATATCACCAGAGTTAAAAATTAAAATAGTTATTATTTCCAATTTCCACTCACATGAAGATATATAGAGGTAAAAGAAGTGTGAATATAAGCAACGTTTATAGCACCTTCTCATAAAGAAGATCAGAACTTATTAAAATAATGTGAATATTATAACATTATGAAAACATGCAATCTGTGATGCCACACCATTTCACTGATTTTCTTAAAGGTATAATTTCAGTTAGTCATGTAATGACTTAATTTAGAAACTGTAGGTAGCATAACAAATATTAAACTGTTACTGTTTATTGGACTGTTTATTGGACTGTTTAGTGGACATGAAATAAATGCAACTTTCTATAAATAATAATAGTTTGAAGAATCTTGTCTGGGAGTATTCCACAGGCTCACCACATATTTCTAATCAATTTTAACTTAAGCAGGAATTGCTGTCTTGCAGTTTGCATATTACACCATGCCAAATGTCACGCAAAACAGACAATGGTTTTACTTTCACTGCAAAGTTATTGGTGAACCTCTCACAAAACCCATGGTTCATGGAAGAGATCTCATCAGCAAAAAGGAACAGAATGATACAGAACATAAGCTCACTTCAAATCACATCAGTGAGAAGTATTAAATCAGGGAAGCAGTGCAAAATTTTGCAGGATAGCATCAACCAGAAGAGGATAAATTCAGGTGAGTGATCTGTTTAGTAACAAACCAACATCACATTTCTTTGAAATCCTAAGAGGCAAAAGCCATTGTCTTTAGATACATTCTCCATTAATTTTCATGAAAAGAAAGAAAGTACACTGAGCCAGTAAATAACCATGATTCCTGTACTGATAATGTAAGTCAACCTATGCAATCACCCTCCTGTCTCATGTCTGTTTCACATTAGTACTAGATGTATTAAAGGTCATTGTAGGTTACTTTCTTCATGTTTTGTATTGTATAACACTTTTGTTATATATCGATGTAATAAAAATAAAGCTACTCATATATTATATATATATATACATATATATTAATAGTAATTAATAGTTTATGTTGTTGAATTGTTCTTATGTCCTCGTTTTATTTATTAAGGGGAAATCACTTTTATATTTTAGTGCTTTAGGTTATATTGATGTCTCTGGAAAGAATTATACTTGTAAATTAAAGTTTTCCCAAACAAGATTTTCATGTTGTATCAATGAAACATCTGTCTATTTCACATCATCAGCCTTTTGAAAGATGAAGGAATGCTATAGGCTTGGTCTTTATTGTCCCACAGATATCTGTGTATCCAAAACTTGACCCACTATCCATGATAATATCATGAGGTTGTAGAACATTTTGTAGTTGAGATCAAGTGCAAGTGCAAGGAATATTTTATCCAGTGTGGAGAACATTAGCAACCTCACTCTTATCATTCCACTGACATTTTCTTTGCCATAAGATAAGGGAATTCTTATGTCACAGGCCCATACTGATATGTACATGGGTCACACCTGAGGCCCAACAACATTGGTCCCAAAAGACTATTCAAATGCCCCACACTCTTTATGAAACTAAGACTTTCGCACAAGAACTTGATTGTCCCAGATATTTTCCTGCAATCACATGAAGGTGACTAATGTGGGAAAGAATACATTGAAATGTAAAAGACCATTACTTTAATGAGTGTTTTATAAATTATAAATATTGCATGACTTAGATTAAATGAAACACCGTTTCAAACAATTTTCTGTTCAATAGCATCAAGTGATATAATCAAGATATTGACCCATTATCCAGTAGTAAAACCTTGGTTACTCTCTCACTAGGCTCTCTAGAGCAGAGCAAAATCACAAACGTGTATCCAAAATCCTGTTTTCAACACTTTATTCTTCAACATCTCTGAGTTTCGAACCATGGAAATCTCATGTAAATTGAACTGCTCTTAATTAAAATTTGCTATGTTAAAAGTAATTTTTATAGGAATGTAATGTGAACTAAGTCAAGAGAAAAAATTAGTTGACTCCATATACACAAGCATCACAAAATTCAGGGGATAAACACATAATCATTGAGTTATACATTCAAAAATGATAAATTGCAAAGCACATGTAATTTCTAACTTCAAAACTTGCCTTAAAATACCGTGTCTCAGCATTCAAGTAGTACTATTATATCATTTGATCTTTAAATCTATGTATATATAGTGGTAGGGACTAGAGTTCTTTCATTACTGCAGTTCTTAATGCTAATCCAAAGTGTCATGTGAAAAACCAATGACTAAAATGCCAGGTCAGTACTTGGTGAAAAATAGCAGTTACTAAACTAAGGGAACAAGCAAACTTATATAACTTTCACTTCTTCTAGGTTCTGTTCACCTGCAATCTATTTAACAAGAGTTCATAGTGTTTATTTACTTTGTATTGTTTGATTGATCTATCTTTGCATATAGTTATGAGGCCATACAGAATGAACAGTTTCAGAAGATGCTTCACAATGCAACAAGGTATCTATCAAGTGGACTTCAGCATTTGGCTGATAGAACTCATTCTACTTTTTCACAGCAAGGTGTAGAAAAGTCCTTATGTGGTTCACAGAGTTTAGCTGCTTAACCAGAATAAGCATAATCATAAATGCACTTGTCCAAGAAGGTCAGTATCTGACCATCCTGGTATCCTCATGTTTCATTCTTAGTGACCTTAATAAATCACCTGATATTATACTTAAATTTTCTCTATGCCCTGTGCCCTTGGAAGTGATCTTGTGTGTCTGTAGTATTATAAGAGTTTGATATTTTAGGCAAAATGATAGGAATATAAAATCATCAAACACTCTTAGAAATCCTTGTGTATGCTTTATGTTATAGGGCCAGGTGGGACCATATAAACATGTGCTGTTTAGATTGTTGTAAGAAATAGTAAATCTACAGTGAAACCATTGGAGTTTTGTCACAGGACTTGCATATGCCTTCTGTAATTTTCTTTAACATTCAATAATAGTTTCTATAAAACTCAATAAATCTATTTTTAACAGTACACGAGGACATTAAGTGCTTATACATGTGATACCAACATGATTCTTTATAGAATTTTGAAAAAAATTTTCTTATTAAGTTCAATTTTCTCATTTAGGAATTAAAATATATCTATCACTAAATGCTCTGAAATGAGCCTTCTCAACTTTCACATTAAATGATGCGTATAAAAAGTCGTATTAATTCTAAAATCTTCTCAAAATATATATTGCCAGGTGCTATGGCCAGCGCGGGGAAGGAGTCAGGCAAGAGACTGAAGACACAGGGAGACCAGTTGCTCAAGAGGCAAAAGGCGATTTATTGAAGGACTCCAGAATTTTTATAATGTTTCAAAACAAAGAGCAATACAAGTCACTTCAGGACACTTTCTTGTGCATACAGCAAAGGTAAACATGTTCTTGGGCCCATGAGAAACTTCTATGTTGTGCAGCCCAGAAGGTAAACATGTTCCTGGGCCCATGAGAAACTTCTTTTGTTTATGTTATGAAGCTATTCCCAGGTGAATATCACCGCGATGCTTTGTCTAGAAGGCTGAGGTTACTGCAGAATGAAGAACTGGTTGAGGTCCAGCTTCAGTGTGTGGTTTTCTCCACACCCATTCACTGCAGGACTCCTGGTTCCACTCCCAACATATCCCTCTTATTTCTTAGACAAAGCGTCGCATTAGAATTTCATTAGCAGTTGATTCTAACTTAAAACGTTTCAAGTCCAAACGCACATTTCTCATTTGCCCAACAACAATTCTCACAAAATATGGAAATATTGTTATCATGACAATAAATGCTAGAGCTCCAATACCAGCTAGAATGATAAAATGCAAAATGCCCGTGAGGCTTGGGAAATGGCTGGGTAATGCGTTGAATATTTGCTCAGTTTCTTTTGCTAGGTCAACTTCAATTGCTGGTGCATTAGTTGTATCTTGGATAGTTTTATGCAGCATAAGCAAATCTAGAGAAGTATTGGAATTATGCCATATTCCTAGCAAATGATTTTTCACCCTATCCCAAAGTACATCACTTTCATTACATCTATATGAAGTAACACAAATATGTTTGTATAAGGCATGACATTTCAAAGAAGATTGTACTTGCAAAGCATATAATTGGTCTCCTAAGGTTCTTACTGTATCTTGTAGAGCATTTAATTTTTGTTCAATCAGGCTATCCCAATTTTCCTGTATTTTCAAAACCAAAGAAACATTATGTGATAATTCATTGCCATAGGATGCAGTTTGCACACTTTCCGTAAGAGATATTGCAGACATTGCAGTGGAAGCTATTAAAGTAATAAGTGCAGCAATTCCAGTCATTAACATCCCAACAAATCATTTGGCCCGATTTAAAAGGTTAGTTATTTTTTGCAAAATAATCACAGAAGGATCTTGATACCACTTTGTGGTGATATTAACAGGTAAAAATACAAATGGAGGTTGTTTGACCGGTAATATGGATGAGTGGTTTCGTGAAGCATTAACACAACTGGATAAGATGTAATCTTTACAAGTAAGTTTGTAAGATTCATTGTTCTTATTTACAGTAAGTTCTCCACTTGTAACACCATATGGTTTAGAAACACAAGCTATGATAGTTACATTTTTTACTGTGCCATTAACAGAAGTAGCATCCTGTGTCCCTATATGTTGCAATACAAACTTTTCTTTTGCAACAGTAATGTAATCAAGCACTGCAACCAACTTCCACAGCATGGTAAAAAAGGTGATGTTATTCCTTGTCCGTATTCCATATAATAAATTTCAGGGCCTGTAGGTTGTTTCTCTGTAATCACTCCAATCACATAGATCTTTGTAACATATAGTATAATTATGATGGCACAAATGCCATGAGGGTCCATATACACTTTTGCTTGAGTATTTTTGTCTACATTCTGGAATATGCTCAGGGGGATTACCTTTTCCCACTCTAGTTTCACTACTGTTGCGAAATACATACATCATATCTACTCCCCAGTGCATTACATTAGTAAAGTTTCCATCCCAATCAGAGTATCTTTCTATTAATGTAAAATTCTTATTTGTTTTAGAAAAACATAGGGGTAATGAAGTAGACATTCCAGGGTAATTATATACAATAGAGATAGGTTGTATATGAGTGGAAGAAGGAAAAGTTAAGACACTAGTATTATTTACATAAACAGTAACATCATCGTTGTCGCCCCATTACATAGGGTGCAAGGAAGAAGGATTAGGTACAAATGCCCAATAATTATCTGCCTGCACAGGCATATGAAATGTATGCAAAACCCAAATAATGCTTAGCAATTGAGCCAAAAACAGAAGAGTTTCATCTCTTGTCGCAGGAGGCCTTCTGGTTGTTGTTCTTGTCCTTGAGGTCACAGTTAGTCGAAGCATTGTCCTGCGCAATTTTTCTATCTTGCTCTTGGGCATGTCATACACAACGTTCTGGCATCCACCTGGGTGTATCAGCATCTGTGGGAAAAACACAAACATATCCTCTTCCCCCTATCAATACTGGGTCAGGACCATGTAATAGATTAGTTAATGGGTCTTTCCAATAAACCATTGGCTTGGAGGGCAAATCAGGAGACCAATGTCTCTCAGCTGCAGATCTATTAGAAGCATCAAAAGTTAAAAAATTAAGAATGTAAACAGCATGGTTAAGAAGGGTTTTGGGAGAATACTTATACCATCTCCCCCTTTTTAATTTCTTTATTGTTTTTTTTTTTTTAGTGAGAGATTAGCATGTTGAACAATTCCTTGTCCT